TTTCAGAATTGGTGACACAGAATTCACTACAGTTAAGTGCTATGGAATAGCTTCAATGTTACCTGCTATATATCAAAACAATTTTCATCCCACTGCTTTTTTTTTTTATTATTGGGAAAAAGTGAAAGGAAAACATACATGACACTAATTAGACGAATGCACAGCCTTGGACGTGGAGAAGGCAGAGTGGGTTGGCTGTCAAACGGTAAATACATGCATTGACTTCAGGACAAACTTGGCCTTGGGAGCCAATGGGAATGAAAGCTCTGCCCGTGGGCAGCGCGGCTTTCGGAGACCAGCCAAGGAAGGGCCTGGGGGGCGGGGGGGTGAGGTGCCACTGAAGCTCTCCTTAGGTGACCATGTCAGTGTGTTTGTTTGCAATTTGCTCTATGGGAGGCCTGCTACCAGAAAAGAAGGGGAAAAAAATGAAGGAAAGAGACAGAGATAATAGAAACAGAGAGAGAAACCACCACCACCACCACCGCCACCAGTATGGACGACAAGGTATTTCCCAAGATGTGATGCAAAGTACATGAAATGACATTCTTAGAAACCCCTCCCCCAAAGAAATCCCAAGGAAGAAATGCTTTACTTCACCCAGTACTTTCTGACACTGGCTACAGGATGCAAGGTCTGCGGAGACCAGGACTTGGAAGGGCAGGAGCAACTTCTCAGGAGATTTGCAGGTGCCCGTGGGCGGGCTGAGTGCCAGGCCTCAGGCTGGGTCCCTGCCCATTAGGGCCTTCCGAGTGGAGAGCACAGGAGTCAGGACAGATGCCCAGCAGCCCACGCCTGACTGAGGGGCGGGCGGGTGGGGGTGGGGAGGAGCTAGTACTAAAGAGCTGCTCATGCCAGGGTGTGAAGAAATGGAAAAGTGAGGTCAGACCTCAAAGGAAAGAAAGAGCCTTGGGATGGGGACGGGCAGAGTGACAGGAAGGATCAGAAAAGTTGCGTTTGTGTAGCAGGGGGATGTGCCAGGAGAAAAAGTAGGTAGAAAACTATTCGGATTTAGTGTTTGTGCCTCTGACTTCAGTTCCCAAAAGGGGGGGGGGGGGGGGGGAGAGTGACTGGAGGAAGTTATCTTTGCCAATATTGTTCATGCCATGTGATGGAAGAGAAAAAATTGAAATATGTCTCCGAACGGAGGGCGGGGCCTTCCAATGCCAATAGCCCTCCGTCTGTCTGTCAGTCTACACACCGGGCCCCACGGGTCCCAGCCTTCTTCAAAGGTCTTTCTGGGCTTCTACTCTAACATGGTAAACACGCGGACGGTGGGTGTTGCTTTTTTCCTGCTTGATCACCGCTGAACTACAGTTTCCTGCTGCTTTCTGGACAATGAAACAAACAAACAATGTAACTTAGTGTATTTAATACTTAACCCCTGTTCATTTTCACCCTAGACTGCCTCCCTAATGTTTTAAAGCCTTTAAAACATTTTTTTCCTGCAAATCTGTTCAGAGTTCCCTAATTTTAGCTTCATCAAACTTAATACAACAAAATACCTTCAAAAACAGCATACCTGTAACGTCCATTTACAATGGTTTTTCAGTAGACCCATGCTTCTCAAGCATAGGAATATGCTATACCATTGAGAGAAAAAAATAACTGTATTTAAATACTTACAAAAAAAAAAAAAAAAGGAAACAGGAAAGTTTTAAACTTAAATCCAGTTCCCAAAGGGGACAGGAAAGGTGGGGGTGGGGGAGGGGAAGAAAGCAATTCTATGAACGCTGCCTTTATAATGAACAATCGGAAGTTTCACTAGGCTAATTTGACAGAAATTTTTCCTCATTTAAACAACATTACAAAAGTCCTGCATTATAAAATAGGGTAGAATAAATCAGTGTAATCAATAAAACTATACAACAATACAAATTACATATCTTCTGAGTGGGCAGTTTATTCTCTCTCTTTGCAGTCATGACTACAACATGCTCACTAAAAACAACTAAAACTGCCCAAACTATTGCTTAGTTTATTTTGTTTTTAAAAAAAGGGTGCAATTTTATTGTATATACAACCAATTTACTGGTAATACCTTGGCTTATTGCAAGGTTCTGACAAAATGTTTGTCTAGGCTTTTTCCCTTCACTGTGAAGCACTGAAAGCTGCTATTTTTTCTTTTTCTTTTTTTTCCTTTTTTCTTTTTTTTAGTGCACATATGTCATAATAAAGTAATGCCCAGCTAAGTGCTATAGGGGGAAGGCAAAGTATGCTGGCTGGCTATAGGAAGTGACACCATATACTGACAACCACACCGTACAACAGCGCCAAACGACTATTCAACCACTTATCAGACACATATGAAAATCCAAAATGTTTTATTTTATTTTTTTTCCTTAAATAGAGATAACCAGTAAACAATTTTCAGAACTTGGAAGTTTAAAAACGTGCATATAAAAATGGGCATTATATACTTTTTATTGAATGTGGATTGACTGCAGTCTGCTAAGAAAAATGGGGTGTGGGAGCTGAAGAAAAAGGAAGTTGTCTTTTTTTTTTTAAGGCTTGCTTGTGAAAGGAACAGTTGTAAAAACAAAATTGCTTGAAGCAGGGTCAGCTTAGTGCTTCACAGTTTGACTGCTTCTCTAAGAGGAGCCCTTCCTGCGCACGTGCATTCAAAAATCACAACAAAAGTACAAAGACAAACACCCAAAACACACTGCGTCAAGTGCAGCACCGACTTTGGTCAAATAAAAAAAAAAAATAAAAGAAAAATTAATCATCACTAAGCTTTTCTACACGATATAAGCAGGTATTGCATATTTTCATATATCTGGGGCTGGGGGAAATAAAGGAAGACTCCAAATAAATTGTAAAATGCAGCAACATCCAAAATACTGATATTCTAAGAATCTACAGATCTCAGAATAGCACTGCCACTGACCACAGAGGACAATAAAGACTACTCCTATCTGCGGAACGACTAACTCTCTATTTAGTTCTAGATGTTGAAACTGACAATGGCTGACATAAAAGTCACATTTACAAAAAGTGTCTCCAAATGCTTGACTAGGGAAAACCCCCTTTTCAATAGAGGAGCATGTGCAACAATTCCACAAATAATCGCTATCCAGGGCAAGGCACATTGATATGGAATTTTTGTTTTCGTGCAAATTAAGGAAAAAAACAAAACAAAACAAAACAACATTGTTTTGGGGGGGGGGGGAAATGAGGAGCAAAGTGTCTTCCCAAGAATTTCAGTTACTTGATTGTATAGGACAGTAGTAGAACCCTTCTGAAGGGCTGGAAAACATAGTTTAAAGGCAAGTGCCTAGAGGAGGGATTACAATATTGTGTCTTAATGCACTCTACTTTATCCTACATTAACTATATAAAAATTAGTTACTAACACTAGAACATGCAGAGACTTTCTCTGATCAGCAGGGCTTGCCAACCAGAACGTATATATATGTATAGTATAGGAAATCTTCTGGAAGTTGCATGGGAAGCAAAGGGGTGCTTCACTGTCTGGTAGAAAAATCACTTGCACTTTTTTTGTTATTATTATTTTTTTTGTCTTTTTTTGTGGTTTTTTTTTTTTACAGAAGATACAGGACATTTGGGGGTGCAAACTTTTTTTTTTTTTTTTTCCCCTAACAAGTACCCTTGATCTGAGTGGGCACCAGCATTTGCGTCAGTATTGGTTTCATTATTATTATGATTTTTTTCCCCATAGCCCGTTGAGGGGCGCAAAGGTCTTTAAAATTTCTGGACAATCTCTGGTACGATGAAGTGTCTGATAACTGATAAATCCTATGTTGCCGGATACACGTAAAAATGTTCAGAATTGGCATAATCCATTATAGTGATGTCTAGCTTATGAAATTAACAGATACCATGATTTCATTTTACTTATGTGCTTTGATAACAGAAAATAATTAATTAGCATTTAATGTAGTTAACATATTGTGGTAAAAGCACCATTAGATTTGTTTTTTTTTTGTGTTTTTTTTTTTTTTAATTTTCCTTCAGTTTTTAAAGGGATACAAGTTTAACAATAAAAAACATAAAAAGCAAAAATAGCTCCCCTTTTTCTTGCAAGGCTGTTTTTTACCCCAATAATTTAGAGTCCTGGGGTGGAAGGACTTGAAAAACAAAAATAGAATTTTCAACAATCTCTATCTTACAAAGATATTTAGCTATCCAATGAAATTGCACTTTACTCAATTCAAAATTCGATTGTTTTGATTGATTCCTGTCAGTTTCTGTCAAAACAGACCATCTTCCCCATTTCCATGTGAATTTGTGTGTCATTGTTGAAATTGTTGAAAAAATGTTGTTTTTTTAACGTAAGTGCAGCATTTCAAAACTTTTACAAAACTGAATAGTAGTAGTAGTAGTTTGCCGTTTTCAGAATTGTTCTGCAACGTGAGTGGGTTCACTGTCCTTGAGGGCCATGTTATCGATTGAACTGCTGACTGCTGAACCAAACCAAGCTAACAGAAAAAGGAAAAAAGGAACATAACTGCATTTTCTTTTTCCAATATGTTACAGAAAAACATTGCCCTTTGACTGTCCCGTAAGTTATATATTGCAGATTTCAGCTACTACAAAAGATTTAGTTTTCCATGTGCCTCCTGATTGCTCAAGGAGGCTCACACCTGTGTGGGTAAATTCATGGAATACTGTGAAACGGCCAGGCTCCGTAAGGAAAGTGTTCCAATGGAAGTCAGTGAGCAAGGGTAGACCTCCTCTAGCCACATCACCTGATGCTCACGCCACCATGAAAACACTTCATATGTTACAGAGCCCAGCCATTTCCAGCACCATATGAGAAAATTACAACAGTCCCAAAAGTAGTTAAAAAAAAAATCCCAAAAGGTTATGGCCTTTGCTGTTTGACCATAATGCTCGCTGTTTCCATGTACAAGTTGATTTGATTCTCCCCTTCCCCTGACAGTGAAGTTGTAACCGCGCTGGGTTGAGGATGCGTCCATGTTACAGAGTTGAGAAGGGGTCAGGTGGTCTGTCTGGTGGATGGTGGGACACTTCGACTTTTATCCCAGGTACCAGGACTGGAAGAGAAAAGGAAAAGAGCAATTAGAGGTTCAATGTAGTAAAGAATATATTTACAAGTTGTCCTTCCAACTGTGAAATCAGGATCTGTTCAGGATAAAGGGGGGATTTGTGGAAAAAGTAAAGGAGCAACAAATAGTAGTAAATCTTGAGACACTGAAACTGACCCTACTCCTCTAAAATTGAAATTCAGTGTTTCCAGTGGGGGTTGGCTAATGTTCGGAGTGTGTCCTACAAAATAAAATATTTATGTCCAACTGAAATACATATGTGGTCTTATAGTCTGGTGAGGACAGATACACAAGGGCAGGAAACTGTATCACCTTGTTTCTCATTGGATCCTCTGTGCCTAGTACAGTGCCTGAAATAGAAGGTTTCCAACAAAGAAGAGTTGATCAAATGAAGAGTTGGTGAGGGGAGTGGTTTCGTGTGGTGATGAATGTCTCCTTTGATGATTTTCACAGCATTTATTCAATGAGATGTAGGCACTGAAGATGCTATTGCTGCCTTCTCTTAAGAGGCTCACATGATCAGTGGGATAAAGAACAATGAACTCCTTTGTGCACTCTATTTTCTCTGCAGCAGCATCTTCAACAGCCAAGATATGGAAGCAACCCAAGTGCCTATCAACACACTCACAGATAAAAAAAAAAAAAGCTGTGTTACATATATTTAATGGAATACTACTCAGCCATAAAAAAAGAATGAAATCTTACCACTCGTGACAGCATGGAGAGACCTAGGGGGTATTATACTCAGTGAAATAAGTCAGTCAGAGAAAGACAATACCATATGATTTCACTTTTATGTGGAATTTAAAGAACAAAATAAATAAACAAAATCGAAACAGACTCACAGACACTGAGAGCATACTGGTGATTGTCAGAGGGTAAGAGGACTGGGTGAAAAAGGTGAAGGAAGTAAGAAATACAAATTGGTAGTTACAAAACAATCATGGGGATGTAAAAACAGAGCAAAAGGAATGTAGTCGATAATACTGTGATAATTATGTACGGTGCCAGGTTGGTCCTGGAAATACTGATGGGGAATACTTTATAAAGTATGATAGATGATTATCTAACCACTCTGATGTTCACCTGAAACTAATATATATATATATATATATATATATATATATATATATATATATATATATATATATATAATGTTAGCCTAAGTGACCAAACGACCAGTCAACCAGTCGCTATGACTGCGCATTGACCACCTTGGGGCAGATGTTCAATGCAGGAGCTGTCCCCTGGTGGTCAGTGCACTTCCACAGCCAACCTCCCATGGTCGGCCAACCTTCTGTGTCCCTTCCCCCACAGTGAGATGGTCCTAATTGGCCCCGCTTGCTGGCCAAGCTGAGGGACCCCACCCATGCATGAATTCATGCACCAGGCCTCTAGTACAAAATAATACTGAAAGTAAACTGTAATTGAAAAATTAAAAAAAAAAAATCTTACCTAATAATAGACAAACATGTAAATTGACCGTATCTCCACTATGACACCAGCCAATCAGGAGTGATATGCAAATCAACCCAACAAAGATAGTGGTTAATTTGCATACATAGACGCTGAGTGACAGGGGTGTCCTGCCCCACTCCTGGTCTCTCAGTGCCTCTGGGCAGCATGAGAAGGCAGGGCTGGAGCAGAAAGAGGCGGCTCCGGGGCTTGAGCAGAAAGGGGCTGGGCCAGAGTGGAAAGGCTGTGCCAACAATCAGGGAAAGGAAAGCCCATGCTAGCATGAATCTTTGTGCATCGGGCTTCTAGTAGTGATATAAGAATAAATGGAGGCAAAGTGGAAAAAATGCTATACTGAGAATTCTGGGTAGTTTTGGACAAGTCACAGCTTCTCTCTTATACTCAGTTTCCTTCTGTGTGCACGAGGTAGATTTGATGATGTAAAATACTCCTTCCAGCTTAGCATGTCTAAAGCAATGGCTTCAAAAATGACATATAATAATCAAAACTTCACCCTATTAGTTACTAGGACATGCCAAGGGAATGCATAACTCGCATTCATATTTTGTTCCTTCAACACTTATTTAGAGCCTTCCCTATGCCTGCTGGGCCCAGTTAACATTTTCTCTCATAAATCTTAGGTGGTTAGATTGGGGCAATAGTCTGGTTATACCTCTCTTTATATGCTGGCATGTCATTCTCTGTAAGCTCAACAAAGTGACCAATTACAGTTTAATATCAGAGTCAGTTTCTCAAGTGAAATAAAAAAAAGTACATGGCTTTTGCCAACTTTTCTCTAGAGATACCCTGGTCAAATTCTCCATATTTATCATTATTCACAGAAACATCATCAACTCCAAGTGAAAATGAATGCTTCTAAAACCTCTGAGTTGACAGGATCAAGAAAGGGTTACGTTGGGGTTGATTCGGTCAGATGGAGGCTCATTCGTATCCAAGAGATTCAATTAGGTAAAGTGAGGATTCGTTTGATCCCCAGGATAAATGGCGAAATGATAGCTGTGTGGAGGTTGGTATAAGATTTCCTGTTCACACAAGTCACCTTTGATTTCCAGAGCACTTGAAAAAACCTAAACCCGAACCGAAAACCCACTCATCCTGTATACTTTGAGATGTTATTCTCTGACCACATGCTTTGAGGAAGACAATAAGGCCTCTTGTGTCCTGAAAGGAAATCATCCTGGCAAATGCACACGGCCTAAATCTAGCTGGACAAAAGAAAGGCGAGGAAGAGAGAGGGCAGAGCCACGTAGACTCCAAACTGTCTTTTTAGCAGGCTCTCCTAGGAGCTGCCTCTCAGCCGCTTTAGAGCCCACTCCTCTCTTCCACAAAACAGTGTCCAACTTTGGGTGCCACAAATAATGCTCACAATTTCTGTTCGCGCACTTTCTCAGTCAGTTGTGAAATTCCAGACTTACGTAACTCTGACACGATGTTAGCAGATCTAGAAGCCAATGCTTGGGAGTCAGCAGGGGGAGCAGTTTTCCACACCACAGTTTCTGGATGCAACCTCAGCGCACTACAAAAATCTGCAGTGCCTCTGCACTTCTCTTAAAAAGCAAAGCAGGGAGAAAAAAAGTTTTCTTCACACATCTTACTATTCAGTGTGCCTTGCCGACAAGGTTACCCCAGAGCAGCTCTGTAATCCTTCACTGAAATAGGCTTTATTGATTGCTCTGGTCTATTGTTCTCTTTTCAAGTCCCCCAAGTTCAAGTTCATCCTGGTGTTACATCATGTCTGGTTGCTAAGAGCAACCAGACAGACCCAGACGTGACTATCATTAGCAAGAAACCCTCTGCTCTCCTCCCACCAACCTTCCAGTGGCTCTGACGTAGCAGGCCCACTGCAAACACATTGAAGTATTTATTCTGCCTAATTTATGACCTACACAGCAAGCAGGACCCCCACTCCAAAAACCAACACCGTTGTATATTTAATTAATCTGTCTTTCTCTGGCACTTGGGAAAGTTAGACAAAGGACTAATTATTGTGTTTCGCTCTCCACACTTTTCTTTTGGGGGGCGAATATTTGCATGGGAAAGAAAACTACAAGGCCCAGCACTGCCCTCCTCCCCTTTTTCTTTTTGCCCTATTGACATTTCATGAAATACTTTAGCTGCTTAAGGGAATTAGAAAAAAAAAAAAGTGATGTGAATGTTACTCCTTTTGAGTTGGTATTCAGTAACACAAATCAACTCATGACATGTTTAAATTTAAATGCTAACCACACACTCTCAGAGTTACTTTAAAGGTTAGTTTTTAATCAATAGAAGTTGCTGACTCCGAGGTTTTGAGCTGCGCACTGCAGCTCTTGGGCTTTTGTCTAACGTTAAAGCTTTCAAACTTTTTTTTTTTTTTCCTTGAGATGATTTTAGCAATGATTTGCAGACACAGAAGGCTATTGTGCTCAGACCAGCAACATGTCAATAGAGAGAGAGCTGCCCTGTGGTGGGGTGTCAATATGACTCCTGAAGGCTTGGGTTGGGGGTCTTTAATAGCCTGTGAAAAAAACTTAATTAACTCTTTCAGGCCCAAACCAAAACCTATTCTTAAACTTTTTCACTCCTGTAATTTGACCATTAGTACTTATTTCAACATCACACTAATCTTCATGACAATTAACCCGCTACTTGACCAAGGCTTTCCAGAATGGGAAGGGAGTTGGGTTAGGGGAACCACACAGATAATTTTTTTAAATAGGGCTCTGATTAAATCATTCATTTGCAGTTATGATAATAATAATCATCATAGTAATAAATATTCATGCATACTTCTGAATTTTCTCATGATCACTTTGTAGCTGAAAATACTCCAATTTTGTTATAATGAGTGTAATAGTTGCACATTTATAAAGCCACCCAATTTCTATAAACTTCCATGATTAGAAAAAGCCACTTTTCTCTTGTGATATTTTCTTGTACAATTCATTATGCAAGCAGTGCAAATTTCAAAACATTCCTTGAAGAACAATTCTGAGCACTTTTTTCTTAGGTCATATAAGAAAAATATGAAAGAAATTGGAGATTATTAAATTGTTGGGGTTGAGTAGCAAATCACTAGAAAAATGTTGCCACATTAAACAAAATTCATTTATGGAGAGTAAAAATATTGTCTTCAGGTTTACTGACATCAGCTTAGGTTTCCTATGGGTTATGCCTTCATACTTTATAGCCCCTCATCTAACCTCCTGTATCCAGATGAACTACAAAGGAATCTCTGTCCCTTATCTGCAGCAAGTCCTAATATTGCAATACAATATAGGATGATGTTATCTTGATACATTTACATTAAGGAAGTAAACACAGGGCTTTGATCTATTTTTCCCCCCAGGAACACTCTGCTACAGTTGCTCTGGAAGTCCATAAATCCACACTCCCACAAGGCTCCGGGTAAGTAAAATTGCTCTGTTACATACACAGTTCCTCCAGATTGGGATGTGCTGGGGGGACGGAGGGGGGAACTGTCCTCTCCCCGTGTTCAAGGTGAAACATCAAAAGAAATCTGCAGTCCAGGA